ACATGAAACAGAGTGGTGATGGTGAATGAATATTTTTAGACTGGATGGTGTGCAGTAGTGTTCCCCAAAGTGCAGTTTCCAGTCCATTACTCTTTGCAATTTTAGAAACAACTCAGGTTCCTCTGGAGATAGTAACATTAAAAAAAAATGACATGAAACTTGGTAAAAGTTTAGCTACTGATTAAAATAATTCTAGGCTTCAATACGACATAAGCAAGATTAAATAAGTAGAAGCTGAACACAAATTTTGATGTAGAGATGGAAAGGGACAGCCAATATCAAAAAGTAGTATAGAAGAAATGACACAACCATGAAAAGTGGCAAATGAGCAGAGAGATGCATACATCTTTAAATGTGACAGGACAACTGGCACTTTGTGAACATTAATTACTTGGATCTATAATTAGGGGAACTGAACATAAAAGTAAAGAAATTAAGCTCAGATTTTATAAATCACTGGGTTGGATGTTAGCTGGAGACAACACTGCAGGGAAGTTGACTAAAACGGTATCAGGTGTAAAGTGTTTCAGTTGAAAAACTGGAAAAGTTAGGACAGTTTCCCAGGGAATGGATGAGTTTAGGTAGCCTAACATCAGAATCTTTTATTATCTTGAAAACTACTATGGTAAGCAAAAAATAATTATAATTGCAAGGAAATAGGTCTAAAACCAAAAGTTTTAATATCACTGACAAGAGAACTAAAGTGGAGAAGAGAATTTGAGATAACAAGGTGTAGAGCTGGATGAACACAGCAGGCCAAGCAGCATCAAAGGAGCAGGAAGGCTGACGTTTCGGGCCTAGACCCTTCTTCAGAAAAATGCAGTTCCTACTAGCTCTGGAGAAGAGAATTGTTGGAAGCTAAAGGGAGTTAGCTGCTAAAGTGGTGAAAGCTGAAAGAAAAAACCATCCGTCTTTTGAAACGATTGAAGAACGGGGACCCTACAGGGCTAGGAATAGCAAGAATATGTAGTGATGCTCTTCCGACCATACAACACAGGTACGATGGGCTGAATGGCCTCTTTCGAGCTATTTTCTAATTATCCTGCTCGGGGCTGTTATTTCACGACTCTGGAGCAGGTGAGACTTGGGGCTTCTCGGATTCTATGCAGCAGGTGAAATGAGACTAGATCGACGTATGCGTCTTGTGTGTGTGTTTAGGGAGTTCCTATTGTTTCCCCACCAAACGGCCTCCGAGATGGAGAAGGGTCGCCAAACCAGCAAGAGTACAACAGCGCAACGGTGCCCCCTCTTCAAACCCCCGCACCTTGGAACTGCCGCTCCCCGCCGGGCTCTTGCCTTTGCCCCCGTATGAGGATCCCGAGCTGCCACTGCCCGATCGTTCCCGCTCGTCGCCGGCAGGCCCCATCTTGGGCCCCGGCCTGTCCCGGGACTCGACACCGGTTCCAGACTGCCGTTGCCCGCTCCTTTCGCGACCGTCGCCGCCGCCCAAAAAAGCCGGCGCAAACTCCCTTCGCCTGCTTCTCGACTCTTTGGACATTTCCCCCTCCCCTGCCTCCCCGCTTTCAAACAGGCCACATCAATTTGATTTTATTGAAGGTTATTTTTTTTTGCGGTGGGAACGAACATTCCGAATCAGCGAAGACAGAGAAAATCGCCTTTGCCGATGACAACAAAATAGCGGGCGACTCCACTGACAGGAGCGCAACCAAACTCCGCTCCGGAAGCACCCTCTCCATAATCGACAGCGGCACAGACCAATCACCTCTTTTACTGTGGTGCATGACTCTGCCCATCTCACGGGGAATATCCCGTCCACGGCTGTGGGGCGGGGCTTAAGGCATGCAGCAAGTTCGGTTGCAGCGTTGCAAAAGGGTAATGCCCCTTGCGGCCGAGTCTGCTCTCTGATTGGTCGGGACGGGGACGCCTTCCGTCGGCCGTCAGGAGCCCCTCGTTCGAACTGGAGGCGGGAAAAAGGTGAGATGGGCAGGAGTGGTGTAAGGTGCGAAGTCGAGGAGCTACGGGGTGTCAGTAGCCTTTCTTCTCAGGGGCAAACTCAAATGTAACAAGAAAACAAAACGAAGAACTTCAGATAATGGAGCTCTGAAACACACAAAAAACACAAATCACTGGAGAAACTCAGCAGGTCTGGCAACATCTGTGGAGAGAGAACAAGAGTTAAAGTTTTGAGTCCAGTGACCCTTTCTTCAGAACAGAAGTTGAAACTTTCTAAAGAAGGGTCTAGACCGGAAACGTCAGTTTTCCTGCTTCTCTGATGCTGCTTGGCCTGCTGTGTTCATCCAGCACTACACCTTGTTATCTCTTGAAACTTAACTCCGTTTTCTCTGCACAAAGAACCAGGTTTCTCCAGTAATTTCTGTCTTTGTGTCAATAACATTTCTTCCCAAGGGCAAAGCAACACTGGACCAATGAAGTGAAACAAAGAACTGTGATGCTGAAAGTCTGAAACATGAATATTTTTCTGGGTATGTAATTTTCAGAATTGTACACCATGTTCAAGGCCCATCTTTTGACCATAGAATACACTGCACAGGGGTGTAGTGAAGGCATGTTCAATTGATTATTTCCATGTAAAAGTTTTTATTATCAAGACAATATTTCAGCAGATCATGGTTGGTAGCTCGTGGTATCAACATAAACTTTGGTGTAATGCAGACATTAACCTATAATGCCAACAGTTTTTTTAGATGCTATTGATTTGAGGGCTATAGATGCTATTGATTAGGTAGTATAGATTCAAAGTTATTGGTAGAAAGATTAGAGGGGATTGAGAAAATATTTTTTAAGTAGTGAACAGTAAGGATCTAGAACATTTTGCCAGAAAGGGTAGTAGAGGCAGAAACTCTCAACTTATTTAAAAGCTCTCTGGACATGCACCTCATAATCTGCAGTGCATTATACCAGTAACAGGAAAATGGGATTAAGCTGGATGTCTCATTACTTGGCAGGCACAGACATGATGGATCAGATAGTCTCCTTCTATGTCATAAATGTTCTATGTTAAATGTCTTCAGTACTTCCAATTTGTTTACATTTCTAGGTTATATTAATAAACTAAATAATGAATGAAATAAAGGTGTTGCAATCTACAAACTGTTGAAATTCAACTACTGATTTTTGTTTTTAACTTCTTTATAGAGTCATACAGCACGGAAACATTCAGTCCAATTCATCCATGCTGAGCTAGGTCCAGTCTGACCTAGTACCATTTGCCAGAATTTGGCCCGTATCCCTCTAAACTCTTCCTATTCATATACCCATCAGATGCCTTTTAAATGTTGTAATTGTGCCAGCCTCCACCACTTCTTCTGGCAGTTTGTTCCATACACCTACCATCCTCTGTGCGAAAAACATTCCCTTCAGGTCCTTTTTTAAATCTTTCCCCTCTCCTCTTAAACCTATGTCCTTTAGGCTTGTACTCCCTGACTCTATGAAAAAGACCTTGGCTATTCACTCTACCCATGCCCCTCATGATTTTATAAACCACTATCTCTCAGTCTCCAGTACTCCAGGGGAAAAAAGCCCTAGTCTATTCAGCTTCTTCCTAAGTTCAAACACTCCAGTCCTGACAACATCCTTGTAAATAGGCTGTATAGGGTCCTGGTAAGGCCACACCTGGAGTACTGTGTGCAGTTTTGGTCTCCTTACATGAGAAAAGATATACTAGCACTGGAGGGGGTGCAGAGGAGATTCACTCGGTTGATTCCAGAGTTGAGAGGTTTGGATTATGAGGAGAGACTGAGTAGACTGGAATTATACTCATTGGAATTCAGAAGAATGAGGGGAGATCTTATAGAAACATATAAGATTATGAAGGGAATAGATAAAGTGGAGGCAGGGAGGTTGTTTCTACTAGCAGGTGAAACTAGGACTAGAGGGCATCGCCTCAAAATAAAGGGAAGCAGATGTAGGACTGAGGTCAGGAGGAACTTCTTCACCCAAAGGGTTGTGAATCTGCCAAAGGGTGGAATTCCCTGCCCAGTGAAGCGGTTGAAGCTACCTCACTAAATGTTTTTAAGGCAAGGCTAGATAAATTTTTGAACAGTAAAGGAATTAAGGGTTATGATGAGTGGGCGGGTAAGTGGAGCTGAGTCTCAAAAAGATCAGCCATGATCTTATTAAATGGCGGGGCAGGCTTGAGGGGCCAGAAGGCCTACTCCTGCTCCTAGTTCTTATGTTCTTAAATCTTTTCTTTATTCAATTTTGATGATGTGGATTTCTCAATGCAATAAACTGCTTTATAATATTAATAGTGGAAGTAGCCTTCAAATAAACATGGATAAACAAACACACAACACAGAAAAGGACATCATAGTAGTATAAATGTTTGGCAGGTTTGCCTTTTCTTGCTGCTACCAAAGATTTGTAAGGAATGTGTTTGAATTATGTTCTCAGAGTCAAATTTAAATGGCTGCAACATGAATTCCATGTTTACAACAAAGGCCTGGACACAGCTTTAAAAACAAAACTGATTAAAAAACTTCAATTATAATTTAAATATTTTAAATCTCACACCAATAATGAGACAGCTAACATTAGGAGTGAACTCAAAAATAACTTGTTAGCTGGACATAAACTATGCAGTTCTCAACTGATCCTTTCCTGTGAAACTCCTTGCTGTAAATAATATTGGAAGTTAAGGGAGCGAAAATTGAAATCCATACCTCATGAATTTCAACATTATCCAAAACATTAATGCATTTGTTAGAAATGAGCGATACTCAAAGAGATGACCTCTCCAGATACATGTATCACCCAGGTTGAATAGTAGATTTAGATTTTATTGTCACATGTACTCAAGTACAGGAGTACAGTGCATGTGGTGCCATTTTAAGTACAAAGGTACCTAAGTACAAAAAACTTAGGTACAAAGTAATAAGAGCACAGAGTTAAAAAGTTAAGCATTACCTTCATGGAATAAATCAAAAAATAAAGAAATAAGGCAATAGTTAACATTTAAAGTCCTTCTTAATTTAAACCAGAAAAATAAAAGAATAAAGATTAAAGTTCAGCAGTCTTTGATGAGTCCTCTGCTTATATTGCTTTCTGGGAAACCTCAGCTGCCTGTTCTCGACACTGCCGCCGCAGATATCAGGGGATCTTCCTCACTGCTTGCTCTTCCCACGTTGGGCCGTGATGCCATAGCTGCCACTGAAGTTGCTGCCTACCCAATCTCCTCCAGGGCCTCAAGAACATGCCAGGGTATGACCCATGCAGAGAGACCAGGCCGAGAGAATGCCACAAGCCACTGAGAGACTGGGCCAAGACACCACCGGACCGAGAGACTGCCATAGGCTACTGTGAGACTGCCATGTGCCACTGAGAGACTGAACCAAGGCACTGCCACAGGCACCTCACCATGTCCGTGCTGAGGATGTGAAGAAACACCGAGAGAAAGAAGAAAAAAGAGAAACAAGAAGATAAAGAAATGACAGAGCAGACGAGCTCTGGCTGAAGCGTCTTACTCTGCTGCCATCTTGTGATCTACAAGGTTTCCTTTCAGTATAGGATATTACTGAGGGTTTAACAGATGTCTCTTCAGTTCCACTTTATCTTTTCAAATTTTTCCTGTAGTTAGCAGAAGATTACCTTTGTCTTCTTCTGTAGTAATCTTTACCAAGGAAGTGTGTTGGAGTACTTTTACAAGTACAAAATGAAGTCAGACAGGGAATAACTCTATCCATAATTATTTACGTCTGTTAATAATTGGTATTCTCTGCCATTAATTTTCAACAAACTATAATTTTTACTTTGTACTTTAGAAATAATCATCAGTAGTTAACTTTCTGCCCGACTCGTATGGATTAGCAATGAAATTTAAAATCATCTCACCGATAATTTTAGCACTTGTAAAGAAAGTATCATCTCCATCTGTATGAACTAAAATAAATCAAAAAGTAAGATACTGCAGATGCTGGAAACTTAAAATACGAACCAGAATTGCTGGGACACTCAGCAGCTCTGATCACCTCTGTGGAGAGAGAAAAACAGGATTAACATGTCGGGTGACTACTTTTCATCAGGATAGGGACCTACAGTTTATGAGGAGGAAGAAACCTACGGAAAAATCACCAAGGAGAGGAAAAGTAATGTTCTGTGATAAGGCAAAGAGGATGATTACATGAAAGAAGTAGTTTCTATTATTTAATCAGACAATTTACAAAATATAGGATTTGATTCATGAATTTTTTTTGCAAATAGTGATTTTTCTCAATCTTCAAAGACTCCTTAAATTAACTCTAACACTCTTCAGCTTGGCATTGATGAAAACTGAATCTATTGAATCGGTAAGAACAAAACAATCTCATAACAAAAACAGAAATTGCTGTAGAAACTCAGCAGATCTGGCAGCAACTCTGGAGAGAAAGCAGAATTAACGTTTTGGGTCCAGTGAACCTTCAAAAAGCTTAACCCTAACTCTTCAAAAAAGGTCACTGGATCCAAAACATTAACTCTGCTTTCTCTCCACAGATGCCACCGAACCTGCTGATTTCAACAGCAATTTCTGTTTTTGTTTCAGATTTCCAGCATTGGCAGTTCTTTGTTTTATTTTAATAATAATTAATTGTTTATTTATGTGCAGTTATTTCAGTCATCTTGTTAAAAAAAGAGAAATACACACCTTAAATACAAAACACCAATATGTAAACTCTTCCACTTTTAAAAATACACTTATAAAAAGTACTTTGTTGACTGTGTGGAATTTCTGTGTCTTGAAAGCCACTACTTAAATCCAAGTCGTTTTATATTTTAAGGATGGTAGTTGTGAAAATAATGAAATATCCATACTGAAATAGGGAATACATAGGCGTTAAGTGCCATGATGGTTACTGTGCACTACCTGGCCTAGGAGTGTTTGCTGCTATAATACGAATACTGCGGTGGTTCCTGCGTAGGACTCTTAATTCTCTGCAAGCAAGTTCAGGATTCAAGTCCAACTCCAGAGATTTGAGCAAACAAAAAAGTTGACTACGATGCTCGTTGTTAGTAGCATGGGGTATATTACATTAAAACCAAAACCCTCTATCCTCTGCAGGATAGAAAAGAATTGGAAGAATGCAGGAGTTACCCAGCCAATCCCTTCATTAACATCACAAAAACAGATTATCTCACTATGTTGTTTGAACAGTTTGGTGTGTGTAAATTTGCTGCCATGTTTCCTACTATAGAAATTATTCCTGTTCAAAAGTAATAAAAACAGAAAATTTCAGCAGATCTGGCAGCATCTGCGGAGAAACAGAGTTGATATTTCCATTCCAATATGACTTTTCACTCCAAACAAGAACATAAAAACAATGAACAGCAGTAGTCCATTCAGCTTTGTTAATGTGTTCCACCATTCAATGAGATCTTGGTTGATTCGTGGCATAACTCCACATTCCTGCCTTTGGCTCATATCCCTTAATACATTCTAAAGAAGAATTGTATTGGACTTGAAGTATTAACTATCTCTCCATGGATGCTGCCAGACCTGATGGTTTTTCTCCACTTTCTGTGTGCTTTTTTTAATTGTAAAATGCTTTATGATCACTTTATGTGTGTGTTTTTTAATTGTAAAATGCTTTTATGAGAATTGAGATACGGTGTCACAGATGAACGAGACATCATGGTGCTTGTTATTCAAAGGACCTGCACTCAGAACAACTAGGAATACAAATACAATTTTTTTTTTCTTGACAGTTTGGAGTCACAATGTTGGCTGTGGTCTGTGTGGACCACAATCTCTATTGTTGCCTCCAGCGGTTGCGCCCCCTGCGGATCTCCAGAAGGAAACGGCGACGGAAGTGAGGCCGGAAGCTCGTGGTCGGGAACCTGACAACCGTCGGTTGGGAGCAAGGAGGCTGCGGGTGGGTAAGATGATGAGTAGCTGGTTGTGGTGTTTAACGCACGTTCTTGACTTGGGAAAGGAGGACGGAGGCAGTGCTTCTCAGGGTAACAGTGAGAGGGATTGTCTCTTGGGGAGACTGAAGGGGAGGGTACGGTTTGAGGGGTTCGGTGTTAAGCAGCAACCAGTATATCCCGTCACTCCCGACCCCACGTTCAATAAGAGAAATAGCAAGCAGTTTTTTCTTTCAAAACAAAGTTTGTTTTGCCTTTTAAAAGTATGGATTTCTCCACTAAGTTGTAATATTTTCCCTGTTAAAATTTGCAGTTTCTCCCCTTGTAAATATGCCAATTTTTCCTGTTAACATATGCCAGCTGTTCCCTGCTAAACTTTCTCAATTTTCCCTGCTAACATTTTCCAGTTTTCGGTGTTAAAATTTGCCGGTCCATGCCTCGAAGAAATCAACTTTACAAATACCTTTAACAAATGTTATTTTTCTCTCTTCCTGTATAAACTTTTTTTTAAAAAAAAGCTATTACTTTTGTGAAGATTCTAAAAATGCTATTTCATTTCAGATCTAGTTTTCAGGATCTGATTCCTGTTGCAGAACCTGTTGATAGCTATTGTAACTGCTGGTTGATGTTACAGCTCTGCAGGTATAGTGTAAAGCATACGTTATACTCCATAAAATATAGTCTATAATGTATATCAAGTGAAGAATATTAAATGTACAGCTATTAACCAATCACCTGATGGGAATATAAATCTATTTGTGTTAACAAGTGTACTGCAAACTTGAAAATCCTGCTTTTTAAAAGTTCTGTTCTTTCCAGATTTGACAAGACTAGCTGGTTTATTCTAACACTAGAAGGAATTCAGAATTTACAAGCAGATGCCAATTGAGAGAAACATCTCCTCTCACAGCTTGTCTCCAGCCTCGGGATGTTCCTACTTAAACAATTAAGACTGTAGCTTTAGAAGGGCATATTCAGTTGTGCATATTTCTGTCCAAAATAAAAATATGTTCTCCACTTAGTGTTGTGGGAAGATTGCTAAATTTCTGCAGTATTACCATTTGAAGAAAACGTATTCTGTTGACACCCACTAATGAATGATTGTGGCTACAACTTGTATCCAGGCGGGAGTTGGAGCTTTAACATGATGTGAAAGGAAATATAAGATGAATTCATGGATCATCTGCTATAAACTATTGTTGTTAGTTACTACTCAACTACTGTACATCCAAATTTTGTTGTCTAATAAATATATTCAGCTTATACACTGTTAAGAATGAAAATTACTCCACAGTCTGTCTCATTAATAATTTATCCCTTATGACACATTGATAAACAGTAGCTATGCCTTGAGAAACAATTAATTCTGATATTTCTGTATATACCAGGATTGGTGCAGCTCATTCACCACATCTGTTTGATCTCTCTTACCAGTGAGAAATACCATGCTCAATTGTACATAACGGAGATCATTTATCCCAGACAGTTGAGGATAAAAGCTAATAATTAAGCTGATTGTAGGGAGCAAAATTGCACAAAAGCAAGAAAACAAAATCTGAAATTAATGAACAAATACCATCTGTTCCCCAAAAGTTTGAAATTCTTGGCTGATCTCTTCAGTAACTTGGAAAAGCTGTGACATGTGAACCCCTCTGATGTTCTTAAAGCAGTTCTGTGAAATTTGAAACTTTGGAGTGTAGGGATTAAATTAAATTAAGTAGTTTTGCTTTGATATGTAGTGTGTATCAAGTTTGAAATGAGTATCCTTTCCACATAATCTGTCATGCTCTAAAACACTTCCTTCAGTAAAAAAATCAGATGGAAAGAACAGTAGAACTAAACTGAACATTAGTTGTCTGTGCAAACAGGATCCCCCAAATTAGGTCTGGGTTCTAAGTAAGTTCCATATGTAACCTTAATATTTCAATGACTTCATATCAATCAATCTATTGTGCCTGGTGCATATTTCATTTTGCCTGTCAGTGCTTGATGTAAATCAGAGGTGTTTTTAATTGTAGCAGTTATGGTTTTCACTTCAAGCATTCTAGTCATTAAATCAAGCAACAAATTAATGTCGAATACTGTCAAAATTCCTAGTAATTTGAAACCGACTAGCTCCGACAGTTCATTTCACCTATTGGATTTGTGCAGGAGCAGCCCAGAGAAGTTTGCATTTTTATATTTTCTTTTCATATTTTGGAAGAGATCTAATCCTTTCCTGTTTGCCTAGATGACTGTTCATTTGAGTTTGAATCCTTTAAGTTGCATTTTCAAACTTTGTTGTGAAAGGATAACACTTTTCACACCCTTTGTCATTGTTGACTGTGCTAAGGCTTTTGTAACTGATATCTTGCTTTTATTAGCTTTATTTGTTTTCTTACTGCTCCGAAGTATTTTGAGCTGAATGGTATTAGTTTGGTTTTATTAGTAATATTGGGTTGCTGAGCATTTGTTTTGGATGTGGCATATATTTTCTTATTTCCTGCAGCCCATGCTTAATGCCAGAATTAATTTTCACTGGATTATGGTCTTTTTAGTTTTAACTTTAAAATTTCCCTGAAAGCAGGTTGTCATCCTGTCCTCGTGACGACAGATTGTGTGAAGTTCAGAAAGACGTAACTTTAGAAATGGGAGGTATATGTAAAAAGGAGAATTGGTTTTAAAAGTAATTTTGCAGAGATGAATAAGAGAAATAAGTTATGTGAAATTTCATGAGCCTTTAACTTTGCTGCAGCCACTTTGGATATTGAAACCTGCCAAACAGAAAATGCTGTTCAAAGTGTTGGTGAGCTGTACTTTTATTGTGATGTGCTCCACACACGTTCATCATAAACATGAGCCAGTTGTATCTGAGGATCACTATATGGATGGTGAACACAACCCTGAATTCGATCGGGAAGTCTTATTTGGTGGAGAGGTAGGAAATTCCATGCAGCTCTGTTTATTCATTAGAATGAAAAGGGAGAAAGTTTTGAAATAGCCTACTCAAAAATGTGCGTGCTCTGTTAAGTGTTTGTGATTTTAAAAATATTGTTAAGAATATTTCCCCGTGCCTTTTACAATATTTTTCTGTTTCATTACTCTTCTGAATGACATTCCTACATATGCAAAACAAATTGGAAGAATTATTGGCCTGGATGTTGCAGTCAGCAGTGAAGTGAATATTCCCTGCTGATTTTGAAGAAGGGTGCCCACTGACAGTCTGGCAATCTAGCAACTCTGTGAAATGCACCCCCCACCCCTTTCCGTAGTGGAATTTAAATCTGACGCCAAGTTGAAGGGATGTTTGCTGTGCAGCAACAATGAATTGTCAGCAATCACACTTAAATGTTCTTGAACAGCAAGCCAGAAAGTTAAAAATACTTGATATCCACTATTTGAATCATAGAATCTCTGCTGTGCAGAAAGAGGCCATTTGGCCCATTGAGCCAGCACTGACTGTCTGAAGAGCAGCCCACCAAGGCCCGCCCTACCCCATCCCCGTAATGCCACCTGGCTGACCTGCATATTTCTGGACACTGCAGGCCAATTATTAGCATATCCAACCCCCTAAGCTGTGCATTTTTGTTAATTTCAAGTTTTCTGCTTCATCAATGACCTTCCCTCTATCATAAGGTCAGAAGTGGGGATGTTCACCGATGATTTGATGATTGCACATCCTTCATCATTTGCAACTCCTCAAATATTGAAGCAATCCATGTTCA